AAATGTTTTTAATTGTGTACCAGTTTAACGATGAATATTATTTATGACTTTAACTTTATACACAAATGCCAAAATACTATAGTTTCGACCTTCTTTGTTGGAATCAACCTTTCTGATTTCCTTTTGTAGAATTAAAAAAAGAATTTTATACACACTTTGTAACTATGTGAGTGAATCACATCTTTTATGTATGTTACTACACTGTTTTTTTTGCAAATATATATATATATAAAAGTTTACTTTAATAACTGTTTTAATTGTGTTATTGTTTCTTTTGTCTCCTCTAATCTTTCCAGGAAAATGCAGAACTTGTAAAGCAGATCGACTATGAGATAGTCACAGTTTTTGAGAGTCCTTATGTGGAAGCTATTAAGTCACTTTGGGCAGATCCTGGTATCCAAGAATGCTATGATCGAAGAAGAGAGTATCAGCTCACAGATTCAGCTAATTAGTAAGTATATGCTATGTAGAATACATGTATTACTAAGTGTTATAATTTTTTATTTTGTAGAATACATAATAAAGGCATTTAAAACTGAGAAACTGCTACCTAATGCAAATCTCGATAATTTAAGAACATCATTCATGTGCATCCTTAAACTTAAAAAACGTTTTTTTAATAGTATAGTTTCAGTAATACTTTGATTGATTGGAAAATCACTGTCATTGGAAATTAATATTTCTTGTATACGATATATTGATCATCCACAAATATTAGCTCATTATCTCAAAGGAGTGAGTAAATAAACTTGTATGTATATTTCCTTGTATATATACAACATGTTTGTGTAATCTTTAGTACATAGCACTAAGATAAAACAAATAGCTTGGCATGGGCTGGTGGCTAGGGGTCTCAACTAGCAATCTGAGGGTCGCGAGTTTGATTTCCCATTGTTGAACATGCTTCTCCTGTGTGGTTGTTGACTGGGCTAGCCTCCTGAGTATTAAAATTCCTGACTGACAAAAATACTAGCTGACACCTACTTCGATGGAACTAAGATTGAAATGGGGGGGGCATTGAGATAAAGCATGAGATGTTCATATTTCTACATGCCATGTATCACAGCTGTTGAGGGAATGAAAATGTAGTATTGGAGCTAATGTGAAAGAAGTCTTTATTTATAAAAACATGCTTTTATAACAGTTTTATTTGTTTTCCAATATTTCACTGGCTCTCAACATTATAGTAGTATACTGCATATATAAATAGCATTTCATTGAATCTTTTGTCTGTCATCATCCAGTCCATCTGATGAGTTCTGGTGTTGAACGAAAAGCTTATTTGACAGTGACTTATGGGAGACAGAAGTTCGATCAGAAATGCTGTTTTTACACACCTCTGATTTTGGACTACAATGAATGAACTAAGAGAAATGTGAAAACAACATCTGCAGTTAACTTGTTTTTATAACAGTTTTAGGCCTGTTGGTTTTCCAATATTTCATTGGCAGCTAAACCTGAAATCTTTATTTAAGTAGCTGATTAGCTTTATAGTTAACACATACTCTCAGAGATTAAACAGTGTATGAAAACAACCAACATTTCAATGAATAAATATCTTTTAATCTACATTGCTCTTCTAATCTCCAGTATAGTTTTATGTCTAAAAAAAAACAGGCTGAAAAGTTCACATGGTGATAATTCTAGTTGGCTGTTTTAAAAATACATGTACCCATTATAAATAAATCAAGTTAGATGAGAAAACTAGAAAGTGGGTATAGACAGAGTGTGAGACTGGTTAGGATGAATAGTGTTTAAATGTTGGGTTTTTTCTGTGCAATAGCTATTTCTTTTACCAAAGAGTTTTATCTTTAATATAGATTTTATTGTAGCATTATTGAAAGCAATATTTTCTGAACCTTGTGAGCATCACTGACATAGTTCTCAGTAGTTCATAAGTGAGTGTATTGGTTTTGTATCTAAATGTAAAATGTAAATGTATCTAAATGTTTTTTTCAGTCTGACCGTGACTAGTAACCCACTCCTCTGTCTGCATTACTTTACAATACATTCTACTTACAACTCATTTTAGAACCTAAAAAGAAGTACACAACAGCTGGAAGGAAATCACAGGAAATTTATTTGCACATCCAAATGTTCAGTTCAAGGAATTTATGCTTTATAACCTGTTTGGTACACTGTAGGATATTGGTGTTTTATTTCACATTAAAAAAGTTAATGCAAATTATTGAATTTTTATACTGCATAGCCCCAATAATTCTGCGTAAAGTTTTAAGGTAAGCTTATGTTAAATAATGAAGAGTGTTCTGTGTACATGCTATGTAAAATATTTTTTAATTTTTTGGCATGTCACCCACAGTTACCTGAGTGATATTGAAAGGATAGCAAAACCTGATTATCTTCCTGAGCAACAGGATATTCTTAGAGTTAGAGTGCCAACGACGGGCATCATTGAATATCCTTTTGATCTTGAATCCATTATTTTCAGGTATGTTTTTAATAGTTTTAGTACATGTAAACTAACTTCTGAAGGAATAGATTTAAAAATGTTTGTTTTTAGTAAATTTGTAGGCTTAGAGTGATTGTTACTGATTTGTTTAGTTGTTAATAAAAGTCTTACTCAGCTATCTGAAAAAAATGGCCAATTACACTTTTAAAATGTTGTTGAACCTTATATGTTTGTATTTTGTGATTAAAATTTAAGAATAATTTGCATAAAACTTAGAAGTGCTACACTTTATTTAGTAAGAATTAGGTTTTAGTACCTTTAGTACTGCTACCTTGCACTCACTTGCGCAGTACCGCATTCTCATGCTGCATTTCTTGGAAAGGTATTCCAAAAAAGCATACTTTCTCATTATACATAAATCAGATTATTCTTGTATAGTAGCATGTTATCTCATAATTATAAAGAGGATAAAGCCAGCTCTCTTTGAGTACTGCATCAATGTGCATTAAAAAAAATAATAGCTTACACACAATATCTCTGATAGTAGCGTAACATTCATTGAGACAGGTGTGTTGTTTTTACTCAGTGCTGTAGAGAAAATTTGAGGTGGAAGTACATTACTGTACATCCACCAGGGACTCGGTTAAAACAAACTTTGTTTCAATATTCATGGGGTTTTGAGTCCTTTTCAATTCACCATACAGTAACCTAAACTAATTAGGTATGTAATAATGTGGTGTCATTGCATCTAATTCATTATTTTATACTAGAAGAAACCTGTAAAACCTTTGTGACCAAGTTAGTATCTTTATTGCAACAGTACTTCTTTAAATATAGGATTTGTAGAGTAATACAGAAGAATTTTGAATCGCAGACACTGAAATCTATAAGTACACTTGTCTTAGTCCTAATATTAGTTAAGCCAAAGGACATAGATGTATTTTAGTAGACATTTTATACAACATATTAAAAGCTTATCGAAGTTTTTAAAAAGTCTAACGTTAGGTCTTAGAATAATATTAGAAGATTATTTACTGATAGTATTATGTGCGGTAAGGTTTAGCCCTAACTGAACTAAACCAAAAAGCGTACACAAGTTTCAGGGTTAACTTATCTCTATCGAATATAGGTCATGCTTAATAAACCTGGCAAAACTTGACAATTTTAACAAAGATACGTTTTCAAATTGCAAAAAAAAGATGCAATTTTTTGTAAATTTTAGTCCAAATATGTCTTTAATTTTTGATCAATCATAAACTACTCGCTTCTAATTGACAGGAAGCCAAACTACTTAAATTACATAATAAGTTGCTATGACATCATTGCATAACCAAGAGACAGACAGACAGATACACACTGTGTTTTATAGTATTAGATTATATAACAGTCCACAGCAAAAGGTGTGGCAAATCAAGGAAAGCATTAGTCCTCTACATCTCAGGTTCTCTTTTCAATTTTACCTTTGGTGAAATAGAAAGAAATCTTTAACACACACACACACTCATACACTCATATATATATATATATATATATA